GACACTGGCAGAGCAGATTGCTTTCTCCTCCGCCACCCTGAGGTTTGACTCATAATCCCCCCAACACGCATCACAGCCCAAGGTTATCACAGACATACTCGGTCCCTTCCCATCCATATCCTTCAGCCACAGCAACAGGAATCTGGCTGCCTGGCTGGGCATCCTTATCTTCCCTCTGTCCCGCCTCACACTGTGATGATGGGGAGGAAGAGTGTGACGAGAGGACACAGCAAGTGAGGGCTGTGCAGAAGGAACATTTGCGGGGAGCACATGGCTCTCTAGAATTCTGAAAGCCTTTACCAAAGCCACCCAGATAAACTGGCAACAAGAGTAATATCTGTATTTATTCTGCAAATGTAGCTTCAAATTCCTTAGTGCTCCCCTCCGTCTGCCCCCAGTCCTCCACGGCGCCCCACAGCCTAAACCTCCTCCCATAGAAATTCTGGAACCCCCATGTTTGGCACGAGCAGCTGCACGCATCCTTGCTCTGGGGCAGGTGGGGACCCTAGCCCAAGAAGCAGACGGTCATGTCAATGCCCCAGGACTTGGAAGGAGACTTGGTTGTTGAGAAGCTCTTCCTTGCCCTCCACTGCCAACTGGCGGAGGGAAGAAGTTGAATTTCTCAGGCCATGTAATGGTAGGTATGCGCTCACCACTCTAATTTTATAGGATCCCGACAAATGGCTCAGGTCTCCCCAGCGGGGGATGGTGTGCTACTTCCCTAACACAGGAAGGGAAGGGCTCCAGTAGTCATCACCTTTTTAATAGGGCTACGAACTCCCAGAACCTTGCCGGAAGTGACGCTATCAGAACAAACAGTCTTATCCGTAGTGGGTGAGATTCCCGCACCGGGTACCTGAGAAAAGCCCACCACCAGCTGACACTACCACGCGATGCAGGGAGGTCCCGTTGCACTTTTCGAGTGTCCTCCTCCAGAAGCAAGCCGTACTTGGATCGGGTATTAAATGCTTTGCTAATGAAGCCATCCCTGATAAACAAAAATTATGGGGCAAAGCCACTGTTGATCCCAACTGGACGCGGTAACAAGGCAGGGGGTCCCACGGTGAGCAGGGGCGGACGCACAGAACACGGGCAACCACGTGTGCTAGATCTACACCAGAAAGCATGTGGGGCAAAGAGTTTAAATGCCTGGTGTCCTGTGAAGATGAATGAGGAAATGTTCTACTTACATGCGTTTTATAAGACCGTGGATGATGAAGAATCACATACTATAACATGAACAGCAGCAGCGCCAAGGGAACATGAGTCTCAACCAGAACTATTTTTAACATGTGAAGTTTATTTATGTTACCTGTATAATTAAGTGTTTTTTAAAAGGCAGAAGAAATAGTCATAGAGACAGAATCCAGTCAAGCATAAGGCAGATAAGCCCCATTATGATATGCTCAATCGTATCTGCATTAAGAGCTACCTATTCTAGGGGCACCTGGGTGGCTCGGTCAGTTAAGCAACCGACTCTTGGTCTCAGCTCAGGTCTTGATCTCAGGGTCAAGAGTTTGAGCCCCACAGTGGGCTTCATGAAAAAAAAAAAAGAGAGAGAGAGAGAGAACTGCCTATCATAATAATAACCATATACAAGGAAAACTTAATGTAAAGGAAGCCAGAAAGGAAGATGGTATAGCCCAAGTTCATGTGTATGCGGTATTTGCTTTCAAAGGAATGGTCCCATATAAACTGGTAAAGCTACCACTATTTTTAACATAATGTTCTATTCACATCTCCATTCAAAATGAGAGACCGCTAACTACCGCCAGAACAATGTTTTCCTCTGGGGACTGAGGAGAAGTGGCCCGTTGGTTAAGAACTCTGACGACTGTACATTCACGCCCATCTTTAGTCAGCCTCTCGGCGGACCGGTGAGAACAGAACCGTCCCTTTAAGGCCCTGGGGTGCCTTCCTACTCGCCTAATGGGAAACAGACTTTGAAGAATTGAAGACATACTATAGTTTAGTTCAGAAGATGCTTTTGTTCTATTTTTGTTTGTTTGTTGTAGTTGTTTTCCAAATACCCTTTGGTAACTTCTACGAGATATTATGGGATTATGGGTTCGTTGGGTTTCCATACAGCCTAAAAGTTAAACTGTTTTTCGAGTCAAAGTGGGTACATAGAACGAGTACCGGGTAAGTGTGTTGCAAATGTGTATGATGGGGAAGGGGTAAGAAATCAGATGAGGGGGAGAACTGCAAGCAAATATGAAAAGAAAATTCTATACTAAGAAAGTCAGGAGAATTAAATTGTGTTCTGGAGAGCTCTGAGACAGGCTCTCCTCACCCACTCATCTGAACACATTAGTTCTAACATTTGATATCCGAATTGCCAATGGCTAGTGGTTACCTACGTTGCAAAGTCTACAACAACGCCATGCCATTGACCTTTCTGCAATGTCAGAGATGTCATAGTCGGTGCTGTCCAATCGGGCAGCCATGAGCCACATGTGGCTACGAGGCGCTTAGAACATGATTAGGGCAACCACAGGAATGAATTTTTAATTTTATCTCATCTTCATTAATTTTTTTAAGATTTTATTTACTCATTTGACAAAGAGAGAGAGCACAAGCAATGGAAGCAGCAGGCAGAGGGAGAGGGAGAAGCAGACTCCCCGCTGAGCAGGGAGACCCACATGGGTCTCAACCCCAAGACCCTGAGATGATGACCTGAGCGGAAGGCAGACACTCAACCGACGCTCAGCGCCCCTAATCTTAATTGATTAAAATGTAAATAGCCACATGTAGCAAGTGGCTACTGGATTGGACAGTGCAAGGTCTAGGATACAGGCCTGTAGTTAATTTCACTTGTCATGCGGTTAATATCACTCTGCTGGACCAGAAACTCCATGAAGCTAGCACTGGGCTGATCTTATTTGCCTCTGTATCCTGGAACAGGGTCTGGCAGACTGTGCACACTTGATAAACACCACCGACTGATCAGATTTTCACAGAGGCAAATCAAAAAGGAAGCACCTTTCCTAGAAGGATTATGCATCAAAAGATGCTCGTGAACACCCGAGTCTTACTTTATTTTTTTTTAAGATTTTATTTATTTATTTGACAGAGATCACAAGTAGGCAGAGGTGGGCAAAGAGAGAGGGGGGGAAGCAGGCTCCCTGCTGAGCAGAGAGCCCAATGCAGGGCTCGATCCCAGGACCCTGAGATCATGACCTGAGCCGAAGGCAGATGCTTTAATCCACTGAGCCACCCAGGCGCCCCCGAGTCTTACTTTAAAACCCACTGCCAAATTGTCTAGCTAACCCAGTCTTTCCCCACTTTAATTTCCTTCTATACTTTTCTCACACAAAAGAAAGCAGTATTTCTCAACATAGGATGACACAATCAATATTATTTTTTTATTAAAAACATTCTATTATTTCATGATTTCATTATTCACACTTCTAAACCTTTATATATTCCTTTTATCCTTCCCTAGAAAATACTTCAAGCTCACTTATAACCCCTAGCTGATATTCCATGAACTGAACAGGAGACACCCAGAGGCAGATTGGTTAAAAATGGTCTATAAACATCTTTCTGCCTGCTGTGCTTACAAAATAGAGGACATGCTTTACAAACAAAGCGTATCAACACACACATCCCCACCTACACATACATATGTATACATATCCACACACACACACACACACTACTGAATCTCCAATTATCAGGTCCTTTATTACACAATCTACCTACCACCTTCTACTCTTTTTTTTTTAATTTTTAAAGATTTTATTTATTTATTTGACAGACAGAAATCACAAGTAGGCAGAGAGGCAGGCAGAGAGAGGGCGGGAGGCCTCCCCACTGAGCAGAGAGCCCGATGCGGGGCTCGATCCCAGGACCCTGGGATCATGACCTAAGCTGAAGGCAGAGGCTTAACCCACTGAGCCACCCAGGCGCCCACCACCTTCTACTCTTAAAGCCATGTAGTTATGGAGGTCAGAAAGAACTGGATTGGATTAGAATTGTAGCTCTTCTGGGCTTTAGATATGCACTCTTGGGGAAATTACTTAATCCCCCTGTGCTTCCCTTTCTAAGTCTGTTGAAGGGACTGGACGGTTCACCAGCTATGAAAGCATCTGAAGACCACCAAGTGCACAGCAGGTGAGCTGTGTTTGCTGACGAGTCACTTACTTCCTCTGTTTCATGGGACTTCTTTCCATTCTAACAATCAAGCCAAAGCAAAGAAGTAAAAGGAGCAATGCTTACAATCTTCCCAAAGATGGGTTAGCATGGGTTATCTCCTGATTTAAAGTGAGCAGGACCTGGGACGCCTGGGTGGCTCAGTCAGCTAATCCTCTGCCTTCGGCTCAGGTCATGATCCCAGGGTCCTGGGATCGAGCCTCCTGTCAGGCTCCCTGCTCAGTGGGGAGTCTCCCTCTCCCTCTGCCCCCCACTCATGCTTTCTATCTCAAATAAATAAATAAAATCTTTAAAAAAAAAAAAAAGGCAGATTCAAGGGCAAGGCTCCTGATCAGGGATTGAAGAAACAAAGGAAAATGGTATGTCACAATCTTAAGGAAATGGGAGAAAAACTCATTCAAAAAAGACATTTCTGATATATGATAAAGATCCAACCAGAGGCCTGTGGAAATGACTCGACTCCGTCTCTCTCTGTACAACCACAATAGTTTATATTGTCTATAACTGGTTAAAATCTGTCGTCCGCTTATCTTTAAAGTATTAGAGATCACAAGACCCCTTGTTCTTCCGCCTCCAAACCGCACATCTGGTAAACCTGATTCCTAGCGCCTTTGACTATTGGAAAGTTTCTTCAACACGCAGACAGCATTTATCAACGGAACTGCAGTAAGCAACAGCTTCAACAGTCTGTATGAAGTATCCCTAGGTATGCAGCAACAAAGGACTCCTTTAAAGAGGTAGCCTCTGCATTTTGATTCTAGACCCCCTGGCAGGGAAGTACGCAGTGAGGATCCCAGGGAATAACATCAACAGGCAAGAGGGAAGGTCATGGGAGTCGAGCATACCTCCGCCTCCTGCAGGGTCCCGTGGTTCAGGCACACTGTGTCAGGGCAAGCAATGGGAGACCCACAGCCTTCTCGGATTGCCAGCTGCAGGTACTGTTTCAAGCACTAGAAGGTAAGAAGGAAAAAGACAATTACCCATTGCCTCACAGTAGCACAAAGGTTACACACCGCCCTTGCCTGCCTTTCCTTCACTGGCAGTCCTGGGGCTCTTGTGCTCGGGGAAACTGAGGGAGACCAAAGTTATCACAAGTGTGAGCACTAAGACCCATCGCTTGGGAAAGAAAGCAAGACAGGTGATTAATTACGTATGACCTCTTCCTAAGAATATGAGCTTCTGCGAGGCAACAAGTCAAATTCCTGTATGCTCACACTTATCATCCAACATGGATATGGGAAAGAAGAAACCCTCGTTTGCCCTGATGGCAAATGCCTTGTTTACTCTCTCCTTTTTTAACTTACGTGACTTCCCAGTTCCATTTTTACCGAGTGGTCCTCTCCCTCAAAGTTTGCTCAAAAGTAGAACTCTGACTCTCATGCTGATTTAGCCAAACAGAATCAAAATACAGCTGACTCTTGAACAACAAGGGTTTGAACTGTGTGGGTCCACTGACATGCACATTTTTTTTTTAATAAATATAGTGCTACAAGTATATTTTCTTAACATTTTCTACAGCTTCCTTTATTATAAGAATACAGTATATAATACATATACAGAATATGTATTAATCAACTGTTTATGTTATCAGTAAGGCTTCTGGAAGTTAACTATGAGTTAACTAGCCTTAACTCATAAGGCTATGAGTAGTTAAGTTTTGGCTCAGTTGGTTAAGCGTCTGCCTTCCGCTCAGGTCATGACTCCGGAGTCCCAGGATCGAGCCCTGAGTTGGGCTCCCTGTCCAGCCAGGAGTCTGCTTCTCCCTTTCCCTCTGCTCCTCCCCTCTGCTCATGCTCTCTCTTGCTCACTCACTCTCTCAAATAAATAAAATCTTTAAAAAAAAAAAAAAAAAAGAAAGAAATCCCAGAAGTGGACTCCTCAGTTTCTACTAATTTGCTCATAATTGGAGCTCTTTTCTGTATGCGTGATGAAAATAAGTCAAGAACACATGTTTGAGGACACCCCAAAAATACATAAGCTGGTCAATGAACTAACAACCCTTATAAAGTTATGATTCTTTACAATTGGGTTCAAATTCTTCAAATTTATGCATTTATGTATCAACCTGCTATATTAATAATATTGCTGTTGCACCAACCTTTTATAAAAGCTTAACTATTAAATAAATTCTATGGTCAGAATACAGATACCATAATCGTGAACCTATTTCTTTGTTCTTTGTGGGTTTGTTTTTTTTTTTTTTTTGGAAGATTTTATTTATTTATTTGAGAGAAGAGACACAGAGACAGCAAACATGAGGGGGAGTATTACAGAGGGAGAAGCAGACTCCCCACTGAGCAGGGAGCTGGATGTGGGGCTCGATCCTGGGACCCTGAGATCCTGACCTGAGCTGAAGACAGATGCTTAATGACTGAGCCACCCAGGTGCTCCCATCTTTATTTTTCCCCGTCTGAAAAGAAAACTAATATCACAATGCATTATTTCAGGAAACTAATCCTGTATTTAGCTGATCGAAATTACTGTTACAGTGGACTCCGGAAGCAATGACTAGAGCAAAGCATTTAAACCAGATTTGTATTTCTTCACGTGCTTAACAATTCCCTTCTTCAAGGAGTCCATTTTCCCCCTATGCCATTCATCACCATTCATCATCAAAAAATGAGAAAGTAACCCAAATACCCAAAACAGAAGAACACGTAAATAAATGATGTTCAATTCATACAACGGCTCGCTGAGGAATCAAGAAAAATATTTTCAAATGATGTTTAAACACATGGGGAAAGTGCTCCTGGGTCCGTATGGAGAATAAAAGGTATCCGGGAACAGGGCTCCTCTCGCTCCTCTCGCAGAACTCTTCCTACCGTCAACTGCACTCTGGGTGCTGTATTTTAGCTCTTATTTTCTCATTTGAGAGAAGGGTGAGCAATCACTTGCTCCAGGAGTTTCGGCGCCAGACATGGTCTCCTGCGCCAAGAATGGGAAGCAGAAGAGAGCCGCATCAGGAAATGTGGGGAAGAATTTCTGCACACACGCAGCACTTGAGAGGACCAGCAGAGCTGGCGCACAGAACGGAGTGTCACACCCAGGGACAAATGAAAAAATGATGTGAAGGCTTGTCCACCCGGCTCTGATCTGCGGACTTCTTGGCCCTCCGTCCGCCACACAGATGCTAATGTGACCACTTCGGTCTCCCCAGCTGCCACTTGAAATTTAAGCAGAAAGACTCTAAAAATGTATGGTCCCCAGGTTCAAGGGGAAGGTATCCAGGAAAACAAAGTGAACGGAGCAACGAACATCTATCGGAATATGTGGGCCCCCGGCCGTGGAGCCGCACTAGCAGGCGACGATGGGAAAGTGACTTAGACTGTGCCCCAGACCGGCTTCCCTTCACTGAAACACCAGAAATGATAACATCTGTTGGGGTGCCTGGGGGGCTCAGTGGGTTAAGCCTCTGCCTTCGGCTCAGGTCATGATCTCAGGGTCCTGGAACGGAGCCCCACATCGGGCTCTCTGCTGAGCGGGGAGCCTGCTTCCCCCCCCTCTCTCTGCCTCTCTGCCTCCTTGTGATCTCTGTCAAATAAATAAAATATTTAAAAAAAAGTGATAATATCAGTTATGGTTACCTCAAAGGATTCAAAACACATGCACACACAAAACACAAACCTGAAATTCTGTATCCGGGAACCCTCTGAAAAAGTCACAGACTGCAGAATTATTTCTACTCCGCTTCACGTGATCTTGGACTTTCTATCAAGAACTTCATGGGGAAATGTTAATCCTCTGACCTTCTGAGATTATCCTTTCTCTACCCCCTTCTGAGAACCAGTGAAGCTGCTATGATCCAGAATCATCATAAACAGGACAGATATTTGCAACAGAACAGCACACACGCCTCCATTCAAGCCTCCCTTTAGAACGATTTGCATCTCTAGAAAAAGCTTAGGGTCAAATAGAAACCAAAAAGAAAGACTGTGTGAGTCTTCACAGAAGACTCAGGAAAAAAAAAATTATTTCAACTTCTTTTGCAAACTTGTAAAGTTGAAATCTAAGCTTTCCCAAAGTTTATCATAGATGTTCAGACTTTATTTAATAGTCAGAGAAGAGAGAGCACGAGCAGGGGGAGCAACAGGCAGGAGAAGCAGGCTTCCCACTGTGCAAGGAGCCTCATGGGGGACTCAATCCCAGGACCCTGGAATCAGGACCTGAGGCAGAGTCAGTCTCTTAACCACCGAGCCACACGGGGGCCTCTGCTCTCTTTGTTTTTGTTTTTTTTTTTAAGATTTTATTTATTTATTTGACAGAGAGATCACAAGTAGGCAGAGAGACAGGCAGAGAGAGGGGGGAAACAGGCTCCTCGCTGAGCAGACAGCCCAACCCGGGGCTCGATCCCAGGACCCTGAGATCATGACCTGAGCCGAAGGCAGAGGCCCAAACCACTGAGCCACCCAGGTGCCCCTCTGTTCTCTTTGTTAATGTAGTTTACACTACCCATGATTTTAGGAGAGAAGTTAGAGCTGCATACACGGACTACGGGGCAGAAATGTGTATGTGTGTGTGTGTGTGTGTTAATAATTCTAAGAAACACTGGTTCAAGATAGAGATGTGCAGCACGGGTGACCGAGTATGGGGAGAGCTGGGCACTTGCCGCTCCAGCCCTGTGAGCGTGCATTTCTAGTCGGAGGCCAGGAGGAACAAGAACCAGCCCTGGCTATTGCTTCTTGTTGAATTTTCAAGCACATTTTGTTCATTCTACGTCTCCCATCAGCTTTCACGAAGAATGTAATCTCGAGCCCCGCATCTCTTCCCCAGCACTTCCGGCTGAAGCAGAAGAGAAGCAAAAGCATTCATAGGAACGCTCTGGCAAAGCAAACCTAGGTAGATGCTTAACAATTCTGGAAGAAAACGGCATCTAGATTGTAAATAGAAACAGAAAGGGGAAAAAAAAAAACCTACCATCACTTCATCACATTAAAAAACCTGCATTCCAGGCAGGCCCTCTCTGTTCTGCTGTCCCACCCGCCTCTCCCTTGCCGCGTATTTGGTAAATGCCTACCTCCTCTCTTCCGCTCTGGGTGAGTTCTTTCACCCCATCCGGTCACCCCACACTTGCTGGCCCTCCCGGGAACCTCTGCCGTGCCGGGGCCTGGCCTCCTCCCAGATTCTCCGGGAATCTCCTGGGACTTTCCCTGGGTGCACCAGACGCACTCCAGTGCTCCGTGGGGGATCTGAGGACCTCAGGCCAGGAGGGTGAGGGAGTCCCCCTCGGGCCCTTCGGAGAAATCCCCCACTCCCTTCCCTTGCATGCTCCGCCCTTGGCCGTGACTGTCTAACCCTAGTGCTTCCCAGGCAACCGAAGGTCTCTGGCCAGGGCGGCTCCCCAGTGTGGTCTGAAGGTCAGACTGTCCCTGCTTGCGACAGTGAAGGACACCTTCTCTCTGCTCTCCTACCGCCCCTCCCTGAGATCCCCAGCCCGCAGCTCAGCTGGCAGGGGCAGCTCATCTGAGGCATTTCTGCACGTGTGGAGGACTCACAGCAGCTCTCACCCACCTTGCTTCTTTCGGGCCCCCACTCTCTCCATCTCCCATGGGTCTGGCCACCATCCTGATCTACAGGCAGAATACCGCTCCTGCACGTCGGGGTGAGTCCAACCACCCCACTGAAGGATGACGAGGCAACAAGGATACCAGCCCCTGCCCTTGTCAGCGGGTCCCCTCCCCCAGCCCCTGCCCTTCTCAGCGGGTCCCCTCCCACTGTGCCCCGTGGGTCCGGCCACCACGCAGGTTCACTTAAATCTCCAATCAGCACGTGAGTCTAATACCAAGCTCTGGTCTGTAACTGCACAGAATCCCTGATGGACCACAAGGTTTGAGTGGGGACAGGGTGTCCGCCCCCTACAGAAGACGACACCTCCGTCCAAATGCCAAAGATGTGTCATTGCCAATCTGTCCGTGGGGAACGTACAGGCTGCTTTGAGGCAACAGGCTTGAGC